TGGGTTTGAACCCCAGCTTTCTGGTTAGCAGTCAAGTGCCTTGGGCACTATGCTACCAGAGCTCCCAAGGACCAATAAGCAGCATCATGATAAATAGAGAAAAGATTGAAATTGTCCAAGATTTCATATTACTTTGATGTACCATCACCACCAGCGGAAGCAGCAGTCAAGAAATCAGATGATATAATGCACTAGGCACATTTGCTGCAAAAGACCTCTTTCAAGTGATAAAGAACAAAGATACCTCTTTGAAAAGACTAAGGTGAACCTAACCAAACCTTCATGTTTTCAACTGCCTCATGTGCATGTGAAAGTTGGGTAATGAGTAGGGAAGACTGAACAAGAGTTAATGATTTTGAGCTGTGTTGATGAAGAATACTGAAAATACCGTGGACTTCCAGAACAAACAAATCTGTCTTGGAAGAAGTGCAGCTGGAATGCTCCTTGGAAGTGAGACTGGCCAGACTTCATGTCACCTACTTTAGTCATGTTGTCAGAAGGATATCATGCTTGGTAAAGTGGAGGGTCAGTGAAAAAGGGAAAGGCTTTCAACCACATAGACTGACACAGTGGCTGCAACAATGGGCTCAGGCATAGCAAGGATTGTGAGGCTGGTGCAGAGACAACTTAATGGCACCTAACAACATGACTACTTTAGAAAATACTTTGTTCTGACTAATTTGAGGAAATGCAGTCCTCCCAAAATGGTCACTTTGTCACAGTGAGATTTTTTTCTTAAAAATTTCTCCCCATTGACTAGATGATATTGGACAAATGTGACTTTACTACAGCTTTCATTCTGAATGTGTCTACTTGGAGACTATTTTGGGTGATTTTCAAGACTTAATACTTTATCACTGACACTAGAAATACTTAGATTGGAACAGGGAGAAGAAAAAAAGAAATTAAGCAAACTTATATTTAGATAACATTTTATTAAACTATTCTGATTTTAAGTTTGGAAATACTTTTTTTCTAGCTATTAAAAAAAAAATCCCACTGCCATCGAGTCAATTCCGACTCATAGCGACCCCCATTGGTTTTCTGAGGTGGTAAATCTTTATGGAAGTAGATTGACCAGTCTTACTTCCATGGAGTGGCTGGTGAGTTGGAACGACCAACCTTCTGGGTAGCAGT